TGCAGCCCGCTCACCGCCGGCTCGCCCGCAGGCCGTGAAGGGTACCATGAAGCGCACGTGCAAGTGCCACGGCGTGTCCGGCAGCTGCACCACGCAGACCTGCTGGCTGCAGCTGCCCGAGTTCCGCGAGGTGGGCGCGCACCTGAAGGAGAAGTACCACGCCGCCCTCAAGGTGGACCTGCTGCAGGGCGTGGGCAACAGCGCGGCGGGCCGCGGCGCCATAGCCGACACCTTCCGCGCCATCTCCACGCGGGAGCTGGTGCACCTGGAGGACTCCCCGGACTACTGCCTGGAGAACAAGACGCTCGGGCTGCTGGGCACCGCGGGCCGCGAGTGCCTGCGGCGCGGCCGGGCCCTGGGCCGCTGGGAGCGCCGCAGCTGCCGCCGCCTCTGCGGGGACTGCGGGCTGGCGGTGGAGGAGCGCCGCGCCGAGACCGTGTCCAGCTGCAACTGCAAGTTCCACTGGTGCTGCGCCGTGCGCTGCGAGCAATGCCGCCGGCGCGTCACCAAGTACTTTTGTAGCCGCGCGGAGCGGCCGCGCGGGGGCGCTGCGCGCCCGGCCGGGAGAAAGCCCTAGGGGGGCCCCTCTCTCCACGCCGCCTTTACCCCCGAGTTTGTCCTGGGCTGCTTTTAGGGATCCCAGTATTAGCGGAGCTTAGGGAATGGGGACCCGCACTCCCACGCCCTAGGATCCTTGGCGGGAGAGCTCTGCTCCGCAGTCTCTCTCGGGAGCTCACCACTTGGTACCTGTTAGCCTGCCGCTCTCGCCTCTGGGTTCTGAGCCCGCGTTAGGTCTGGGCCGGCTGAGATTGGGAGCTATTAATCTTCCTCGGACTAGTTTAGATAGGCTTACCTTCCTTCTCCCCTTCCTAGCAGCTGGAACACCACCTGCCCTGGCCGAGCAAGCCTGAAGAATTGGATAGACATAGATAAGCAGGGCCCAAGTTCGGCCAGGGCTCTTTTTCTTTCTACTCCCCTTTCCTGCTGCCAGGCCCCTACCACAACTGTACCTTCCTTCTGTGGAGCCCTTTGCTGGGCTTTTGATTCCCTGGAGTCTGCCAGACTCCCCAAGAATTCTCGAATGTTCTCCCAGCTTCCTTTATTTCTCCCTGAAGAGCCTAGTGACCCAGGAAAAAGCATGTCCTTTTGAGAGCTGGCTCCTAGACGCAGGGTGGGAGATAGAGGGAGTGGGGCTCCTAGAGTACTGACTTGATGAACCCAAGGGGGTATCTTGTGGTGCCCTCTACCACCCATGTACTCCAGACCACGACCCAAGAGCTCTTCTAGCAATGCCTTAGAGGCCAATTGCCAGGCATCTTTGACTCTCCATCTCCCTGCCCCTACCCTATTTCTTCATAATAGCCAACTTTATTTCTCCTGTCCTAAAGAATCCTTGCTCCTCAGAGCCACAGCTGCCCTAAATAAAGCCAATTTCTCACTCAAGACCCTGGGCTGAACCGCTAAAAGAGGGTCAAGGGAGAAATAGGGACCCTTCCTTTCCACTAACCTGGTCCTCAAACAGATAGGATTCCGGACATTGGGTACCTTCTTTTCCATTAAGTGAAGTTCCCGCACGGAAACTGTCGCTGAAAGGCAGTTCAGCACGTTCAGCTTGAATGTACTGCAGTCATTGTGGCATGCCTGCTTTCCCAGGCACTGAGAGATTGAGGGTGGGATCTTTGGAACCTCTCTTCCCTCCCACCTTGGTAGGGTACCATCCTGCCTACAGCCTCCCTTCTCTGGTCTAGGGAGTTCCCCTGTCCTCAGGCTGAATCTGCTACCAGTGATGCGTACACGTCAATCTTCCACAAGTCATCCACTCACACGTGTAGCCAAGAGCTGGCTGTGTGCTGCACTTGCATCTTCCTGTTTCATTTTGTTGTGTTGTTCCTCCGCGAACAGCAGTGCAGCAGAGTCGGGCTTATAGAAGGAAGTCTCTGACTGATGCTCTGCAGACCAGGGCATTTCCTGCCGGCCCCCTCTCCCTCTGTTACTCCTGGGTCTGGAATTGGAGTAGGACAACCCCATCCCACCTTATCCAGAGTAGAGGCAGTGCAGAGGAGGACTGAGACTCCAAAGGCCAGACCAGGAAGAGTGGAAGGGCTCCCAAATCCCAAATCCCAAACTGAGCCAGCAGCCAGACCCTGCCCCTCTTGGGATCCTGTGAACACAGACTGGGAGGTTCTCTTTGCTTCCTCACGGGGGACAACCTTCCCCTCAGAGTCTCCTAGTCCTCTGTTTTCAGCCCACCCAGCGAAAGTCTCTTTGCTCCTTCCTTCAGCTTTTATCTGGACCTCCTGCATCCCCCAACTCACCCTCCACCCAATCAAGCAGTGGCATACCGACCTCCCTGTCCCACTGGGCAGAATTTCTTGGTAAGATGCGGGAGGAAGGTCTGGCATGGAAGTTCAGTGTGGTCAAGCAAAGCTACATTCTCCAGAAGGCCTGTGGGCATCAGAGGAAGGGAACCATTGGGCTTCCTAAGCATGCCATTCCACCAGGAAGTCCTTAAACTGGTTGTTTTGCACCCCAACATGGTTATGACTGGTGCCGATCCATTCCCGTTCCAGAAAGCAACGATGATTGAGCGACATTAGGTCTGAGTTAGACATGTTTTGATCTCTCTTGTGTTATCTAGAGGAGCCCTGGTGGCGGATGGTTAACGCTGGGCTGCTAGCCACAAGGTCAGCAGTTTGAAACGTCCAGCTGCTCTGCTGGAAGAGGGGAGGCTCTTGACTGCCATGAAGTGTTAGAGTCTCTGAAAGCCCCAGGGGCAGTTCGACCCTGCCCTGCAGGGTCACCCCTGAGTCAGCATTGACTCGATGGCGGTGAGTCGGGTTTTGGGTTATCTATTTCTTCACGTGCTCATTCAACAAACACCGAGGTGGGCACAGTGGCGAGTGGCACACAGACACAGCACCTGCCCTGACAAAAACCAGGCTGGGGGCCATATTCCACTGCCAGGGCTCTGCCCCGCCCCCGCCCCCGCCCCCGCCCCCACTCAGACAACCTGAGGTCCACTGATCCCGCCCTGGGTTTGACAGGCTTTCAACCGGTGTGCGGAAGAGGGGGGCCTTGGCCCATCACCCAGTAAGCCCCCATGGGACTTCCCCACAGGGGGCACAAGAGGCTCCCCCCTCCCTCAAGCATGATGTGGGGGCAGGACCCCACCCCCACGCCCGCCCTCTGTGCTCCCTCGGAGCCCATCTGGCTGGCCTAGAGGACACGGGGCCACGCAGATAGGTGCTGAGAAGCGATAAGGGCACCGTCCCCTTCCCGTGCCTGGCCTGTGCGCTGGCACGCGGGCCGGCCTTTCTGGCCCTGAACAGAATCCCGGCCCCAACCGCGACTGGCCTTCGCAGCAGGCGAGGGCACCGACGGGCCCGGGAGGCCTCCTCCGGCCGGCCGCGCTGGTGGGCGGGGAGGGCGGGCCGGGCACTCGCCTATTGTGGGTCTGGATTGGATGCTTCCACTCATTCATTTCCTTTTAATTAACCCGCATTCCTGGAGGAGAAATATTTATGTTCGCTCCCAGAGAGGCCGTCCTCAGACTGCAGGGAAGGGGGAGAGAGGCTGCGGGCGCACAACGGCCTCTCTAAAGAGCTCGGGGAGAGAAACTAAGGGAACAAAATGCCATTAAAATAGCCGCCTACCCCCACCGGAGTCCATGAAAACTTCATTTCACATGCTAATCCCCGGCTCCGCCCCCTGGTCTTCTCACAACACCTTTTCCGAGAGCGGTTGGGAAAAGTCTCCGCAGTCAGCACGCAGCTCCCCGCGGCTCAGACTTCGCCTTGTGTTAGTTCAGGGCCCCAAGCGGGGCTCTCGCTCCAGCAGCGGCTTTTTTTCTGAAACCCCCCCCCCCCCTTTTAATTTAAACAAAGACCTCGGAGTTCATCAACCTCCCACTGAAATTCACAGCTGCTGAACAAACTAATCCCCTCGCCCGGCCTTTCTTCCCTTCAATGGGTTCTTGGCTTCAAAGCCACTTTGGGAAAAGACTTTGTGGAGGCTCACACTGCTTCATCAATTGAAGTTAGTGCAGGTATTATCTGAAGAGCAAGTGGCTTTACAAACAAATACTGCCCAACCATCCCTCCCTCCCTCCCAAACAGACACTCGAGCCCGCAGACATGGTGGGATCGACAACAGGATTAGGGCTCGTACTCCCGGTACCCCCTGGCTTCACACGCGGCCCCTTTGTGCAGTGGCCTTCAGCTCTGAGTGGAGTAAGGAGAAGCCTGCAAGGAGGGACAGGGACACACACACACACACACACCACCACCACCACCACCACCACCACCACCACTCCAGAGTGGTCGCAAATGCAAGGACAGAGCTGCAGCCTAATTCACTTGGACTGGTACCCTTCTCCATTCTTCACCTCTCAACTCCCATCTCGCAGAAAAATGCTCCCTCCAACCCCGACCCCCTCCCCTGAGTGATTCGGGGCAGGGACAGGACCACAGAGGACTCGAAAGAAAGGCAAGTGGAACATGGGGTTCAGAGGAGACCAGGAGATGCCCACCGAGGGAGACAGAACTCAGTAGGCCAAATCAAAGCCACTTTATTGCACGAGTCCCTTGGTGCATCCACTGTGGGGTTCTGCCATGAAAAGAAGCCCCAAGACTCGAGGGAGTGGAAAGCCAGCCAGCCGGGCCCAACCCTCGAGGAAGGTTCCGGAAGAGTTTTTTGTTCTATGGTTCCTTTGTCAGAATCAGGTTTGCCACTGGACGGTCTGGGGCCTTAGGTCAGGGCCCAACCTGGTGGGTCCAGGGGCCGTTCCTCCTAGGCTGTGAGCCTTCTGCTCCCATCTCATAGTTTAAGGCAGTGCCCAGCAAAAGAACCCCCCCCCCACCTTATGCCCTCCACTTGACCTAGCCCATCCCCTCCACTTGACCTAGCCCATCCCCTCCACTTGACCTAGCCCATCCTCCATGCTGGAAGAAATCACAACAGCTCGCTCTCTCTGTTATGCTCATGTTGATGACTTCATGTTCCTCGCTCTATGACTTGTTCAAAGAAGTCAATCCTCCTGAAGCTACCCAGGGACCTGGCCCTGGACACAGGAAGTCAGAGAGAGGGTAAGATCAGGTTCCAAACCCACAGAAGGGTTCAAACAAAGGACCCCCAACATGGGTACACAGAGGTAGACTTGGAAGGAACGATCCCATTCACCCTCTTGGACTCCCCCTGGGGAAGTCCTGTCAGAGTGTGGTATTAGAGAAGGGAAGAAGGGGCCCTAGACCCTGTCTCTGGGCAAAGTCAGGCTTGGACAGACCCTAGAAGGCCCAGGCGTAAAGGGGCCCCAGGCCGGCACTCAGCTGGTTGGAAGCCAGCCCTACTGCATCACAAACCTGGTAGCAAGGGAAGAGGGTTGGAGAAAGCAAACAGAGCCTGTTCTCAACATCCTCTTTGCTTGGGGGAGAAGTTAGCTAACAGCGGAGGGGCTTCCTGGCAAGAGAGGCTGCGCAATGGTGAGGACAGGCATAAAGCTGGACACCTCGCCGAAGCGGCTGCAGCCCACCACTTGGGCATGCACCCTGCTCAACGCTTCCCAAGTCCGCACACCGAGCCACCTCACAAAGCCCAGCCATGACCTGAGGCGAGAGCTGTAGAGAGAAGGACACGGGTGTTATGATGTTCATGCCAGCCCTTCCCCAGGCAGCATGGAAGGGTCAGTCATGAGGGGACTCAAGTTCTGGCACTCAGGCCAGGCAAGCTGTCTTTGGGGGAGAACCCAGGACAGGAGGCCTGTGGGAAGAGAAGACACTGGGCCCCTCTGGTCACAGGTGATGGAAAGGCAGGAGGCAGAGGTACACTTACCGGCCCCTCCCAGAGCTTCTCATACAGACATTCTAGATGTTGGGCTGCCTCGGCCAACTTCCGTTTTGTCTTCTGCAGAAAGGGATTCTGACCCCAATCCCAGCCCCTAACCTTTCACAGGACATGGAGAGTCACAGGAAATTCCAGCTAGGAGGGTGTGAAGTAGCCTTCTCCCTTGCTCAGGCGGAAAAGCGAGGTGCAAAGAGGATCAGAGCCTTGCTCCAGCTAGGAGAGTTTGTGAATGGATGTCAGACCTCCTGACTCCTGCCTGCCACCTCCCAGGACTGCTACCACCTTCCTAAGAGTTAAAACTTGATCCTTTGGGTCTGATCTCCAGGGAGCTGGACTTCAAGCCAGATTCCAGCCCCCTCCCTAGGATGGACATCTCAGGCACATAGGGATGGAGGATAAGACACAGACAGGGCAGGAGGAAGTGAGAAGACTCACCCAAGGAGCTGGCCCACACTCAGGGGGTCCTGGAACCAGGGAGGGAGGGGGTGAGAAGGGTGTTCTGGGTAAGCTGAGGCTTACGGAGTCCCTGTCGGCCAGGGCGCACAATGCAGAAGGCTGTCAAGGCTGGTCTTCAAAGACCAATGCTCTGGGGGAAGTGCTTTCCTGTCCATGTTCTCCACTGGCAGCTGCTGCAGAAGGAGCGGAGAGACAGGGCAGACAGGCCCGCCATCCTCCTGGCATCCCAAAGGACTGGTCTTCAGTGACTTCAAGAGTCACGCTGCTCTTCCTAGGAAGAGAGGTCCCCACCCCGTCTCGGCAATAAAGACACCCCGTCCCCAATCCCCGTCTCCTTCTGCTCAGACCACGTCTAACTCCAGAAACAAGGACTATCTTCCCTGTCCCTGCTTTCCTGTACCCAAAGAAGTTTGGGAGGTTTTCCAGGGAGGGGGGCCCCACTGTGCCTGTCACCTGCTTTCTGAGCTCTCCTGGAGCCCCCAGGGGAGCACCACCCACACCAGGGGCTGCGGACTGTGAGGAAAGGCCCCCTCCAGGTTCAGGGGTGAGGCTCATGACTGGAGCAGTCATCGGTGCAGGGGGTGTAAAGACCGTGGGCAGCTGGAGGGAGAGAAAGAAAGGACCATGAGCCTCTGCTCAAGAGACTCCCGAGGTCTTCGTTGTGGGTGGGGACAGAAGTTTTTGAGGGAAAAGAGGGACAGAATCATGAGAGAGAAGTGGGAAGCGGGGGGGACTGGCGGACGGACGGACGGAGGTAAGAGAAAAAGGAAGAAGAGGCTCCACTGCCAGTGATCCCTGGGGGCATGGCTGGCTTTAACCTCAAGGTTAGTCGCTGGAGTCTCAGGAGAAGGATGAGTCTCTCTAGTCTCCCACCGTTGGTCCCAGTAACCCTGCCGTCTAGGGCCACTAGGAGGCAGAATGGACTCAGTGGCAGTGAGTGTTGAGGGAGCCACGGAGTTGAGTCTGACTCATAGCAACCCTGGATCAGGATGTCAAGACAGCAGATACTTACAAAGCAGCCAGCCTCATCTTTCTCCCACAGAGGGTCTCATGGATTTGAACCACCAACCTTATGGTTGGCAGCCAAGAGGAAAGAGGAGGAGGGGAAAGTACGAAAGAAAAGAGTGGATGCTATGGAAGGGGGAGGACTGGGCTGAATTCTGCACAGAACTAGGATGCAGGTCACTGGTACTTGCATGAGTCAGCTGGGGTGGGGGTGGGGGTAGATGCACTCACCTTTTCCCTCTGTAGATGTTCCCAGGGGGCTGTCCCATCTCTCCAGGAATGTTGGGACCCTGTGTAGTAGCAAAGATAGAGGTCGTTGTGGGCATGTCGGGAAGACTGGAGGTTTGGGACACAGAGGTCATCACCATGTTTCCGGTTGGGAGTCCCTTATCCCTCGCTCTCCCGACCAGCCACACTTTACTTCCTCCGTCCCACGGAGACTCAGGAGGAGCAGAGACTCCCCGGGGGTAGGGAAGGAGAGGAAAGCTGCTGAAGGAAGGCTAACCTGAGTTAGGCATCGAGATGCCAGCCGTGGGGAGGGCACCAGGGCACGGATGGATGGTATGCCACAAGGCAGTTGGCAGGAGGGGCTGGAGGTCCCACGCTCATATGGCTGGGACTGGGCAGTCTCCCAGGGAACAATCGGGGAGTCTCAGGCTGCATGAAGTCTGGGGGTGCCATGGGCGGAGGGGGGGCCCAGAAGAGGCCACACTCCTGGGAGTCCAACAGATGAGGAGCATTGAGTCCTTTGTCCCCCTAAGAGCTGTGGCTGAGACACAGCTGAAGTAGAGCACAAACAGGTCATGTGCCACTCCGTGTCAAGCTGGGAGAGACCCAGAGCACATCAAGAATGAATAGGGCAGCGGTCATAAAGTAATTTCATATTAATAATCTCTGGTTCTTACATGTGAATAGAGATCCACCATTTACAAAATACTTGGAATTCTACTCTGAGTTCACCCTCAAAACACTCCTCGGGGGTGGCAATGGCCAACTGTCCCTCTCACGTTACAGAAGAAACAGAGGGCTGAGCACATTGTCCACGGGACAGCAGTGAGAGTGCTGGGCATTGAGACTCCAATTTCCAGGTTCCTCTCACTGAAGCCCTGGTGATGTCGTGGGTTATGCACTGGGCTGCTAACCGTAAGGTCAGCAGTTTAAACTCACCAGCCGCCCCTAGGGAGCAGGATAAAGCTTTCTGCTCTCTCCCATATTGATTGATGGCCTCAGAAATGGACAGGCGCCAATGTGTTCTGTCAGACAGACTCAACTAGGAGTTGCTATTGCTTACTGGAATGACCCGATGCTTCCCAGACCCCACGGGGCACCCCTCGGGCCACGCCAATGGCTTTCCTGAGAGCCCTGTGCCCTGTCCAGAGAGTTCTTCACTCCTCGTGCACTCACCAGGCTGGGCTGCCTGCAGCCCAGGTGCCCTGTAGTCACTTCTATTCTGGGCCTGGGAAGCCCGATAAAGGCTAGGCTGGGGCGTAGCAAAGGCCTGGTGGTGACTGAGGAGTGAAAAATCTTGGCCTTGCAGATGAGGTTGGGACCTGTGATGATAACAAAGGGTCAGTTCTTAGGAAAAGAAAAGCATTTGTTGACATTATTATAAAAGAATTCTTGAAAACAAAACCGGACAGAATTAAACAAAAGCTGGTTCTTGGAAGTGGTTCTCAACCTTCCTCACGCCACAACCCTTTAACACAGTTCTTCATGTTGCGGTGACCCCCAACTATACAATTATTTTCATTGCTAAGTCATCACTGTCATTTTGCTACTGTTATGAATCAGGCAACCCCTGTGAAAGGGTCATTCAGCCCCCAAAAGGGTCACGACCCATGGGTTGAGAACGCTGTTAGAGGATAGAAATCAATAGAACTTATAAACGTCTCGAAAACAAAAGCAAAAGCACCCAAAACACTCCTTGCTGTTGAGTTGACTCCAACGCCCTGCAGTCAGCAAACTGCTGTAGCGTAAACTAGAACTGCCCCCCAGCGTTTCCCAGACTGTCATCTTTAAAGAAGCAGATTTCCAATCTTCTTCCTACCCAGTGGCTGTGGCATCGAACCACCAACCTTTCGGTTAGCAATTGATTGCTTAACCACTAGGACCTCCCAGAAAACACAAATCGTCAAGTAACAAGAGTGAAGTAAACGGTATTCAAAACAAATCCAGAGGCCATTAAAATGACAAGAAGGAAATACTGCCAACAACTGTAAACTCATAAGTTCAGTAACTTTAGAGAACTGGATGACTCTTCAAAGACTACATACTAAAACTCAGCCAAGATGAAAAAGAGAACAGAATAGTCCTGTAACTCGTATAGAAATTGAATTTGTAATTAAACCCCATCCCCCAAAATAAATAAATCTTCATGCCCAGGTGACTTCCCTGGAGGATGCTTCTAAGCATTCGCAGAATTAACAACAGTTTTAAACAATCTCTTCCAGAAAATAGAATATGAAGGAATGCTTTCTGTGATAGATAATCTATGTGTCAGCGTGGCTAGCCTAGGTTATCCAGTTGTCTGGCCAAATACTAGCTGCTTTTTACCAAGTACTTATAAGAGACTTAATCATCTGCCTTCAGTAAAGGAGACTGCCTTCCAGAGTGTAGGTGGCTCTGGTCCAATCCGTTGAAGAGCTTAAGGACACACGGGAGCTTCTCCTTGGGTGTACTCTGCCTCCAGACGATAAGTAGACAGCTTATCAGAACTCCTCTCTACTATCCCGCCACCTGACCTATAAATGCTGGGCCATAAGACTGAGGGCATCTCCAGTCTGCTGTCTGCCCTACAGATTTGGGACTTGCCAACCCTCACAACCAATGAACTGATTCCGGAAAAGCTATCGATCGACCTGTTTCTTTCTCTGAGTGTGTGCATATTTTACAAATTCAAATCCTCTAGAGAACCCAGATTAAGAAATTGCTTGACTCATTTTATGAGGTTGGTATTATCCTGATACCAGAGCCAAACAGCACAAAATACTGCTACAGACCAGCATCTCTCATGAATTTAGATTTCAAAGTTCTCAACGTCTTAGCAGCGTATGCATTCTGAAGCATGCCCTCAACGTCCCCTTATCCCTAACCCTTCACCCCCCCTCTGGCAGTGGACTGCTTTCTGGGATGTAATCTCATGGCACCTCGGCATACCTCAATCACAGCATATCTGAATCCTATGCTTCATTTTTTTTACATGTCAATCTTTCCACTAGACCAGTGGTTCTCCACCTTCCTCATGCCGCGACCCTTTCATACAGTTCCTCATGGGGTGGTGACCCCCAACCATAAAATTATTTTCATTGCTACTTCATCACTGTAATTTAGCTAGTTATGAATCAGGCGACCCCTGTGAAAGTGTCATTTGACCCCCAAAGGGGTCACAACCCACAGGTTGAGAACCGCTGCACTAGACCAAAGGTTCCCAAACTTATTTGCCCCTTTTCAGATAATATTATCTAAAATGATCCACCCCTGGATCAGTATCCAGGAGGGCAGTATCGCCCACTTGGAGAAACACTAGACAATGAGCTATCTAAGGGCAAGGATCTGTTCCAAGAGTCTAATTGTTGTTCACTAAAGTGCTTAGAAAAAAACAACTGAATATATGCTCTAGAAGGTCAGGGATGTTCATCCCTTTTTCCACTAAACTATCCCAGTACTTAGGACCCTGCCTGATAGATGGTAGGCATTTATAATTACTTTTAAATGCCGAACAAGTAACTAAACAAGTTACCTTCTGAGGGGCCTGAAATCCCAATCTGGAAGATGATGTCTCCTTAGAGTGGGGGGTGGCCCCCACAATAACCCGGGGGAAAGGAAAAGGGGGAGACGGTTGACCCAAGACATCAGAACCCTGGGCACGAAAAAGCCGGTCTCTCAGCTGCCAAACTGGTGCCTGCAAGCATTGCCATGAGGAAACCTGTGTTAAGTCCTAATGAAACAGGCAGAATATCCTTTTAGAAACCTGGTCCCACAGAGCAGTCAAAGCGCACGGGAGCCCCTTAGATGACTCAAAGTGCCCTGCACTCACACACCTCCCTCTTTGATGTTCTGTCTGGAGTGTTCTACATCAGCTAGAGCCTCCTTCTCTTTGAAGGTCCAGCTCAACTCTCTTAACCACTGGGAAGCCTTCTCTGGTTCTTAAAGGCAAAACCGGTCCCTTCCCTGCAGTCCCACAGCACTCGGTAGATGCATCTATTTGGACAATTCTAGTCCCTGACATTGGATTGTGCCCTGCTCGTGAGCTACTGTTGAGGTTGTTTATCTTGGGAGCTGCAGCGTTTCACATGAGGCCTAGCATGGAGCGGGTGCTGGCCAGGGGGAGAGGGCTGAATGAAATGGTTGGTCTCTCCACAGGGTACCACTTACCTGAACACGGTCAGTGGCCAGGCTGCTCTGCGATGCCAAGAGACTGGCATACTGAGTGACACTGCGAGCCATGGCAGGGCCTGGGCTCCCCCTACCAGGGCCCAGGAGCAGCACCAAGCCCCTGTGGAGGACCAGCGCCTTTTCCATCAGCTCCTGTAGGGGCTGAAGGCAGTCAGCCCTCTGCCTAGGACCCCTGCTTTCGCAGCCCTAGTGGTTGTGCACAGAGCAGCAGTTTGAAGTCACCTGATGCTCTGTGGAGGAAGATGGGGCTTTCTGCTCTCCTCAGCAGTGACAGTGTTGGAAACTCACAGAGGGCAGTTCGACCCTGTCCTACAGGTCAGGTGAGTCGGCATCAGATCTTCCGCAGTGAGTTTGGGTCGTTTCCTCTCCAAGACCCTTGAGCTCTTTTCCTGGTAAAACCCTAAGCCCAGGAGGCCCCACGCTGGCATGCGCGTTGATGAACCACAGGGAGGGGTTTTCTCTACGGAGATTCTCTCTCTGAGTCACGTTTCTGACGTGACGAGGTGCTCACCTTCTTCTGCGGCTCCTAAGAGCGTTAGGCCTTTCATCCTGGAGCCTTGTTCTAGGGTTGCCTCAGGAGTCACAGAACACAGAACAGCCTCTGTTCGCTGGATGTGAACAACCCTACTCCTGCACCAAGCGGGGCACCGGCCTGGACCCTCAAGCAGAGTTCTTCGAACTGCCTGTAGTGCCCAGTGAGGCCCCGCCCCAGAGCTGGTTTCCTGTGGCCTGTGGGCCAAGTGTGAGCCAACTCTTGCCGCATCTGCAGGACCATTTGCCTCTCCACTGACTTCCTCGATCTGCTACCTGAAAGCCTGATCAAAGTCAAATGCCAACTCTGCTTCTCGGCAACGCTGCTGGGACCGCTAAATTGCACCTGGACTGGAAGGAAGTCTAGATGAACCCCAAATAACCGAGGGGACACTTGGCTGCAATGACTCCTGGACATGGACAGACAGGTCCCCGGCAGGGAATCTGGATGCTGTGTTTATGGAGTTGTTATGAGCCATTGGCTCTGGCAGCAGCTAACAGCCACTGTCCGACAAACATCTCGCCTCCTTGCCCCTGAGCCATCTCCTGGGAAGCCGAAGAACTCCTGAATGGCTCTGTGGACTTCTGTGTGCACTGCTGCAAGGAGGCCTACAGAAGGGACCTGATGTGACCCCGAGGAGCTATGGTTCCTGTCCCATATCCTTCCGAAGAAACAGGCCAAGGGTCGTCTCTGAGAAGCCTCCTTGGGTACAGTTGCCGGGGTACGGCAGACAGTCATCTCACCTACTTGGTGTCTGATACTGCAGGCCGAGCCTGCCTGTAGCCCTCCCTAATCTGGGTGAGCTAGCCTGGCCCCCTGTTGACCATGCCCTGAACCCTGAATTCTGCTGCCGCTCTTCCCCCAGGCCATTTTGTCTAGGGCACAAGAGCATCTGCAGAGTTTTGGATTCGCAGCCAGATGGAGCGACAGCTCTGAGCGGCCAGCCCCCCAACACGCCCCCCACCCTCCTGCCAAGCCTCCTACCTGCAGGACCTGCCAGAGCCGCTCTTCAGCGGACAGCCCCATCTGCTCGATCTTGCGCTGACAATAATTCAGGAGATTTCCTGACCTCAGGGCCGCCTGCAGCTCGGCAGACCGCGTCAGGAATTCAGATTCCGTGGTCACTTGACTGATGAAGACAAGGTGGGGACCAGGCTGTGGCACCTACTGGGCAGGGGCACTGGGGAGGTCAAAGGAAACCAGCTCCCCCCCAAACTGGTAAGGAAAAACCAAAAAAGGGCGACAGTCATCCCTTTGAGCCAAGTGAGAATCCCAGGAAGGCAACCTATTCGTCAACCCCAAGATAGAAAGGCAATAGTAAGAGCCTCCTCGGGGTGGGACAGGGGCAGGAGTTGAGTAGTGACTGCGCAGCTGGCCCTAAACCACGTCTGCATGCTTAGCACCATCAGCTCCAACGTCACCACACGACTCTTCTCCTCGCCTGTCTTGGGACCACCATTCTCCTAGTCATCCGGGGCGTCGGCACGTTTTTATACACCACTATAAAGGGCAAGGAGCCCTGGTGGGGTAATGGTTCTGCAGTCGGCTGCTCACAAGGTTGGCAGTTCAAAACTGCCGGCCACTGTACAGGAGAGGCAGAGGCTTTCTACTCCCACAAAGAGTTAGTCATGGAAACCCACGGAGGCAGGACTACCCTGTCCTAGAGGGGTGCTAGGAACCCGAATTGACTCAGTGGCAGCGAGCGTGCAGCCAAGCAGCAACAGTCTTAGCCTTTCTCCCTGTTCCGTGTCTCTCATGCAGGCCCCTCCATTTCATGCGCAGCGCTGGTATGCCAAGGTGCCTCCACTAGGTTGCTGGCGTCCCCTCCTCTAATCCAAACTCTCGCCCTCCACCCGACTCAGGCTTGTCCCAGGCCCCAGGAGGGACCTGAGCTCCTCTGCCACCAGAGCACCAAGTCCTCCCAGAGCAGCACCCAGCTGCCCTCCCCGCAGCCCTGGCCCTGCTCTCCTCGGTGGTCTCGCCACATCCCCCAATACTCCGCTCGCTCTGACTTCTGGGCCTTCGCTCACCGCAGTCCCCCACCGGGCAGCCTGCCTGTCAAAGGAGGCACGCTAGAAAAGCCCCGAGAACAAAAGCAGAGCCAAAGTGCCTTTGCTCCAGCAGGTCGCCACCTGGGCTGCTCAATAAAAAGCACCTGAGAGTTCTTCTGACAGGAGTAGCCGGGGTTCCTAGGCTGGAGCCCAGACGAGGAAATCAGGCTGTCCGCGGGGCGCAAGCAGGCAGGCGTATTTTTCTGGTTCCTAAGGCGGGCGGACAGGCCGGGGCTGCTCTACTCCTGAGCCACTTGTTCCTTCCCCTGCCAAGCGCCGCCTTCCTCGCAAACTTTCCTCGCGGATTCAGACTTCTCTGGACTCGGCAGCACTCAGGCGCAGTGAAGTATCATCGGTCATGGCCCTTCTAGCCCTCGTCTTTGTAATTCCCCCAGATGACGGGGTTGTAAGGAGCACGAAACTCTACGGAGAGGATTTGTCAGTTTACCACCCTGCAAGGTTTAAAATGACCTTTCTTGGAACCAGGGATGGGGGAGTCTCACCTCCATGGAGAAAGAAGAGCCCAGGGTAAAGCCTGTCTTGGGGACCCTGTGAGCCCTGTACAGGGAACCTCCTCGATCCACGAAGCTGTGACACCGCAGCTGTGACACCAGAGAGGTGGCAGGAGCAGCAGCAACTGCCCAGCCAAGGGCAACTTTCGTAACGCTGGCCTGAGGAGGGCAAAGGCCAAGGGGCTGCATGACTGAACAACTGTACCCTGAACATTTCTGATCCTGAATTGTAACCTGTTAACTTTCCTCATAAACCCCATTAGAGTGGGGACTGTCTGAGCTCTGTGTGGCCATTGTAACACACCCCTGAACCCAGCAGAATAGAGAGACCTGGCCAGGGGTGTGTGGGGAGGGGGGGTTGGTATCAGAATTGGTAAATGAGGTTAGAGGGTGACGCACGTCTGACCTTGAGCTGCTGTAGGTTGGATTCCCTTCCCTCTTCTCTAGTCTGAGGAAGCCAAGCACTGCCCTTGCGACGACATTTTTTATAAGCACAGAATCTACACCACAGACCCATAACCATCTTAACTTTGTACGATCCTTTAGAATTTTACACGTGGATTCTCATGTGCAGTGCAGGCCGATTCACTAGCAGAAGCTGAGCAGGTATGACTTTCTTTCTTTTACTCGGAAGCTGAGTGGTTAGGTAGCTTGTCCAAGATTTCCCAGATAATAAGTAACAAGGCTATGATAAGAGTTCAGGTCCCGTACCCTTTGCTTCAAAATTCTTGACCTCCCTGTTTGTTTAAGCGTCACAGCCTCTTGAGTATTAGTCTCTGAAAACAAAGCCACTGCTGCCGAGTGGAATTCTGTCTTGAGGACAGAGTAGAATAGCCCAGAGGCTTCCCGAGGCTGTTCATCTTTCCAGAAGCAGACCACCACATCTTTCTTCCGGGGAGCAGCCAGCAGGGTCAAGCTCTGATCTTTGGGTGAACTTGTGAGTGCTTTGCCCACTGTGCCACCAGGGGCCCTGTGTTAGCCTAACCCAACTCTAACGACTGCCGAGTCAATTCTAACTCCTAGGGACCCTTTAGGGCACAGAACTGCCCTTTGGGGTTTCTGAGCCTTTACGTTGTGACGCGAGCAGACAGCTCTTATTTTTCTCCCATGGGGTGGCGGGTGGGTTTGAACCTTGACCTTTTGGTTAGCCACTCACTGCACAGCCCACGACCCCCCAGGGCTCCTTGTGCTAGACTTGCTTTCTTAATGTCTAATAAAGCTGTGAAAACAAAACTCTCTACTTTCATTCATTTTCAATTCAAACCTCATACTGAAAGCATCCTGTTCAGCAATTCAGAGCCTTGCTCCTCCAAGTGTGGTCCTCAGAGCAGCAGCCAGGCTCACTGGGGAACTGGTTGGAACGCAGAATCTTGAGCACTAAGAGACTCTGTGTGTTCCACGGCCAATCCAGAGGCTGCCGGTCCACCCAGAGGTGTCTTGGAAGAAACATGTGATTTCTAAAATAAAAACGACCCCCAAAACCAAACTCACTGCCATCAAGCTCATTGCAATCCTGCAGGGCAGAGGGGCACTGCCTTGTGGGCTCGGTAAAGACTGTCCATCTTTACGGGAGTGGAAAACCTCGTCTTTCTCCCACCGGGCGGCTGGTGGCTTCAAACGGCTGACCTTCCAGTGAGCAGCCCAGCACATGTCACCACCGACAACCCTGTGGCACGCAGTTCTACGCTGGCACACACAAGGGGGAGTCAGCTTTGCAGCCACTCAACCTAATGACTTCCCAACTGGAATGAGCCAGAATCTGAATTGTAATAAGACACCAAGAGATCTGCATGCAGACTGAAGTTGGTGAAGCCTGGCTTAGGGGATTGGAAAATGAGCACGCCGTGCCCCTGGTCCTGAAGTCCTGGGTGGTTCGGTACGGTGTCTCAGAGTGAGCGAGGAGTGGATACGTGCGTGTATCTTTCATCCAGGTGGTACATACCACTGTAGGACTGGAAAACTGGGGGTCACAGAAATGAGGTTCATCTGCCTAGGACCAAAGAAGGGCCCTGTGGAGGAAGTGGGGTGTTAGGGGGGGCTTGAACGGCTGCAGCAGGCTTCAATGGGCACAGGAGAGGAACCCGAGGGAAGGGCCCAGGCAGAGGCAGGAGAGCGAGGGATGACTCACGAGACAGAGGAGTCACGTGGAGTGCAACGAACACGTGGGAAGGAGGTGGTGGCTCAAACGAGATGACGAAGCGGGACACTGAACGAATGAGCTCAGGTCCAAGGCTGTGGGGACCCGAAGAGTGTGACCAGGGGAGGGACCATGAGGGAGTCTGCATTTCTTCTTTCCTGCTCTGGTCCCTCCCTCCCAGGCAGGTAAGGGTTTGAGGAAGGTGAGGTGAATCCCGGGCTATTCTCCATGACCACGAGAGCTAAAGCGGGCACCTTGTGCAGACTGACTGACGCAGCAAGCAGGGTGCAGGAGGGATGGAGGAGGAGAGAGGAGGCAAGAGTAAGTACTTCTGTATGGAGACATAAGGAGGACCTGAGGTCACAGAGGAAAACTCCCTGGAGAACTTTGCTCCGTGGTGAGCACATGTGGGCTTCACAAGCGCTCATCCACAACCCAGAAAACACACACACACACACACACCACTTACAGTGAATGAAACTCCTGCTGGCCTTCCAATCCATTTGGGGGGCTTTTTTCAGGGACGGCATCACTGTCGATTGTGCCACCTGCTCTGGCCCCTGCAGTGGTGGGAGAGGCTGGCTTTTGCTGAAGGAAGAGGAGATCTGTCACTAGCTGAAGCCAACGCTCGGCTGTGAACTCTGCCTGCAAATTCCTTTTTGGAGGAACCCTTGAGATACGGCCTGGCCCTGGCCTAGGAAAGCCAGACTCCCATATTTGGGCAGATAGGGCTGGGCCTGGGAATGAGATGGGCACTCCTATGCTGCAGGGAAGCTCTGCAGAGCCTCCTGCGTCCAAGGTCAATCCTGCGGCCAAGGTCAACAGCGGAGTGTGACACTAAAAAGGTCCAGGGGAGAGAGGGAGGCAAAACAATTCATACTCCTGAAATCAGGGTCCAGCATGGAGGTCTGGGGGCCCTTGGAGGCCTACACTACAGGGAACATCCAAGAACCAAAGTCAAGGTGGAAGGCCTTCTTTGTAGTGGCATGAACCCACATCCTCCAGGACTGTAGGCACTGGAGCAAAGCGCAGTCCTTCTAAACTCAGTCTGGTCTCCCAGTCCCCAACAACCTTCATCTCTTCCCAGGCCGCATGTCCCTCTCTCTCCGGACAACAGAGTCCCTTCCAGCATTCCCCACCAAGCCCTCCAAACCTTGTCAGCCTGTCTCATCTGCTGGACTTCCCAGCTTCTACCCATCACAGAGGATAAAGTGATCCAGCCATCAAAGGAGGCGGCTGAGAACACCGGAGGGACCCGAGGGCACCACTGCACACCAAAGCACCCACTGCCCTGGAGTGGAAGTTAAATACAACCTAATAAGAAGGAATGGAACCATTAGGGAACATGCAGTCTGGGAAATCCCAAAGATCCAGCTGAAGCCAGAAACCAGATGTCTCCCTTCACCCACTTTTCTGTTGTCAATCTCCCATGGAGGAGGCTATATGTAGATCTTTGTAACTGGTTCCCCCTTTCTATCCCATCAGGGTACAGTGTAGCAACAATGAAACATACAACTTTCCTCTAGCTCCTAAATGCTTCCTCCCCACCCCCCCACTATCATGATCCCAATTCTACCTTACAAATCTGGCTAGACCAGAGGATGTGCCCTGGTACAGATAGGAACTGGATACACAGGGAATCCAGGACCGATGATCCCTTCAGGACCAGTGTTGAGAGTGGCGATACCAGGAGTGTGGAGGGAAGTTTTTCTTCATAAGGGGGAGATTCGGAGGAAGACACATATTCCTTATCACAAGGAAATGAGCATTATCCTTGTGATAAGAAATGTGCTAAGGAATATGATAAGGATGTGATGATGTGCTAGGTGATAAAGAAGTTGGAATTGTTCTGGGTGAAATTGTTCTCGGTTTGCAATAAGAACAGAAGAAAACAGGATGACCCCAAGCTTGTGTAAAGGTCAGCTTAACTGCAAAAAAAAAAAAAAAGTTCCGCTTCTGTCCCCTGCAGCTTTTTAGAAAAACCACATGCTGGTGCAAGCGAAAAGATAATGCAAAGTATTGCATTCTTTCTGTGTGATCCAATAAGCTATGCCTCTAAAAGCTTGTCCCCAGCCTCAGCTCAGGGTCTACACCTGGCACTAGACAGAGTCTCGTGTGGTCTCTCAGCACTGAATCTGGGTTTGGACACAATAAACCTCTGAAACTATACTCGGTCTCTGCTTGCTTTGTTTATTCAACGACCTGCTTACAACAATCCTCAGACCAGAGCCAGGCTCCAATATATCTCCTGCCCCCAGCCCTGCTCCCAGCCCTTGAAGTCAGGGAGAATCCGTCTCAGGCTGCTCATCACGGTCTGGGTGACTGTTCACTGGGGTGGCTTGGAAGTCAGGGAGGAGGGTTGGCAGCTAAATCCAGGCATTCCTGGCCTCAAACCCGGTCAGTATGTCCCACAGGGATGGGAAAGGGCCTTGAAAAGCTACGTGCTGTGGCTCCTCAGCACCGTCAGGGGTGAAGAGGCAACGCGCAAGTCCCACAGCTAGGTCACTGGAAGATGATCATCCTCTAGCACAGCACCAGCTGGGTGGTTATGTCTGGGTGCCAGGCCAGGCCTGAGCAGTGCATCTGGGAACAAAACAGACCCCAATAGGCGATGTCACCAACTTCCTTGGTGCTGCACCTTTCCTGACCAGGGAGATGGGACCTTCTGTGCGACTGGGCACAGCACAGCATCAGGGCCCAGCGATGGCCATGTTGACGACGGGATCGCTGGAGCCTTACATCACCTTTGTTTCACCCCCCTCAGCTTCCACTCTCCACAGGACACCTGAGCGATTTCCTTCAGTGCACAGCCGCTGAGAGCAGAACCCAGGGCAGGGAAAAGTCGCTCCCTCGGCGAGGCCTGAACAGCCTGCGTTCTGGCCTCTGTGATCGCTGACTGTGACGATCGGCTCGTTCTTCCTGAGGTCCCACACAACTGCCTTGCCACTGGGATGAGCAGAAGACAATGTGCTGGACTTGCCGGTTCCAAGAGCATGGGAGTTGGGGAGAACAACTTGTCTGGGCTGTGGGGCATCCCTGTCCCACTGCTCCCAACCAAGCACAGAAAACCCAGGGGCAGCCGTGGGCTACGCAAATGAGCAGAGTCCCAGGGAGTGCGGGCCTCAGGCTCCAAGGAGGAGCCCTTAGGCTACTGAGGTCGAGGTTGAGGGACTCCAAGGCATTTGGGGTTTTACCCTGACCGGCACCCAGCTGCTACTGAGAGGATACAATGAAGATGAGAAAAGAGCCCTCCTGTGTCTGACAAAGAGAGGGGGTGGGAATAAGAAGGAAAGGCATGTGTGTGGTAGGGGGCAGAAACACCCAGGACCCTCCTGAGAGAGCGAGATTTAAAGAGGAAACCCTGCTACTTTTGGGGTACACGGGGCTATCAAATGCAGTCAGCTTCCCTCCCGACAGGGAATGCCAGTGAGCAAAGAGATGGGCCCAGTTGCCGACTGACGGGCATACGCAGAGACAGAACGCACACCTGACCCCCATCCGCAGGCTAGCTACTGCAGAGAAGGAACGATCTCAGTGTCCCACTCTTGTTCCCTCTCTGCTGAGTCTAGGGCCCGCCCCACCCCTACTCTGACAAAGAGCATGCCTACTCTCCCCTAACATCTTGGACCTTTTCCATTTTCCTCCCGGAAGCCCCAGGAGAGTTATTGAGGGCACACCAAGCCCCCTTCCCACCCTCTTCCCCAAGCCTGCCTCTGCTCTGGCCAGTGGAGCTCTATTGCCCTTCAGTGGTGCCGCGTGGAACTGCCTGCGCTCGGCCTGGGCCCGGAACCGGAGACCAATCCGGGCAATGGGCTTGACGGCTCTCAGCAGCAGCTCAGGGAGGCTCACCTGTGACTTGGGTCCTGCGGCCATTAGCACACTCCGGTTATTCAAATCTCAAATGAAGATTTCAGAATCACTGGCCCCTGAGGCCAGGAGGTTGGCCTGGATGAAGAACAGGCCTTTGGAGACAACCCCGCCAAGAAGAGACAAAAGCAGGGAAGAAAGGAGGCCCATGTTGGGGGCGCTCCCAAGCCCGCCCCGTGACCTCCCGGGGCAGGTGCAGAGCGGCAGAGCAGCGAATGCTTCCCTCCAGACGTGTCACTCCACAGTGCGGCCAAGTCCGACCGAAGGCTGTCCTTGGAAAGGGTTAAAGTTGAGGGCTCGGACAACTCACATCACCTGAGGGCACGGAGCCTCGCTGACGCTGCTGTACCCAGGAGTAACGCAATGTTCCCACACCTGGGAACAGTGGGCAAAGTAACCGAGTAGCCCGGGGGACAGGACCGGGCCCTGGCTGCCCAGTGGTTAGACCAGAGCCAGCCCGTTAGAAGTGAAGAGCTGAGCACCCATTCCAACCAGGTCAGCAGAGTGGACACAAGGACAGCTAGAGCTGCTGCCAGATCGGCCATGTTGTCTAAGGTCGCCCCCATTTCAAATGAACACGGCAGAAGCATGGGCTCTCTGCCCTGGCTCCAAAGGCTGCCACGCCGCCCGGGGACTAGAGCGAGCATGGGCAGAGGGCAAGTCAACGGAGTCAGCGGAGAAGCCCACATCGGCACGCAGGACACAGAGAGAGGGAGGTCGGCGAAGGGAAAGACACACCGAATGGCAGCAGGGGGCGCGGTGGCACATTGTGGGCACAGCCTATGACCTCCAGAGCAGAGTAAGAGGTACTGGAAGTCGCCGAAGGGTTAGAGCAGATGGCACTTACTGCAGAGTGGCTGGGACGGGACGG